TAAATAAATTAAAAAAGAAACCGATAAAAAAAGCTGACATGTTTTGTCGAAGTATTTATATGAAGACACTATTTATATGATCTAAGATTAAAAAGTATATGTATTTTATTAAAAATTTACATACAAGTTGGTCTTATTACATCGATCGTGTTGCAATAGTCTGTACAAAATTGGAATAGAACAATCAATCAGCTCTCGCAGACCATAAATCATCTACAACAAGTGTGTAATCAGCGTCAGTCATCGCGAACTAAATCAGGTGAATATTCAAATTGGATGAATTAATGTGTAACTAAGTCATTTCAATACTCCGTGTACTGACGAAGGAGTAATATTTTACTTTTAAAACATTGAAACATAGAAGGTTATATATTTTTATAGTAGTAGACTACCAGTAGTTTTTTTTCTTTTTTTTATTTTTTTTTTATGGGTGAAAATGGTATGGTAACCCTGCCTGTGCTAACGGGATACGCTGGCGGAGCACCAGAGAAGGGTGATAGATGAGAATGAGAACAGGCCAGTTAGCCCATCATGATGAATTCATTAGGAATTAACCATGATAATTTCCAGGGGGAACCGCGAGAAGGTCGACTTAGTTGGGTATATTGCTAGCAATGGGATTCTCAGTCTCCATTACTAACAATCCCTTTCCCCCGACTACCAGTAGTTAAGTAGAGTAGTAGTTTTTTTTTTTATGATACTGTCTCTATAGGTCTCCACGACCTATGTTCAGCAATAATTAACGGCTGATATGATGAAATATATAATAGATTTCTTTTAATGTAGTCAAAGTCTAAAGTTGCGATGAATTTAACACTTGACATATCGTACCTTTTTGTATGCAACTTAAATGGCAAACAAGCTGACGAACCACCCGATTTGAAGTGGTAACCGTCGCCTACAGACATGAGCAGTACCGTGGACATAACAGAGTATACTGTTTCGCACATGATACCCCTAACGCGTTTATAATTTACAATTTATATTCTTTACAAAAGTGTATTAAATTTCTTAACATTCAAGAAACAAATCAACGACAATATCTGAGAGAAAGGTAAGTACTAAGGGAGCGAAGAAATGTTTTGTAACAAAGCTCCTATTTATGTAGTATTGACTCCGTTAACTTTCCAACTCGATGACTATTGAATTAGACTAACTTTACAATAGAGAAGCCATTGTAATTTTCAACTATACTTATTCGATGTTTAACAACAGTCGAGTAATTAAAACATTTCGCTCGATGTAGTTTGTTAATATTTGACGAGCGTTGTGTAAAATGAATAAAAGAAAGGAATTCAATTTACATTATAAAGGGTAAAGATTTGATTGTTTAATCGTAATGAATAAAGTGAAAAATTCCCTTAACGATTTTCAAAATATATATAATGATTTAATATGATCGATTACTATTATCTTTTCACTCATTAAAAAAACTATATAAATAATAGTAAGTTTCAAAGTATCTTCGGTGTGGTCATATCATTAGACGATTTATACCAGCCTGCTTGTTTACCATTTGACACCTGAGTGACATAAAAAATTCTATATATATATATATATATATTATATATATATATATATATATATATATATATATATATATATATATATATATATGTATATAATATATCATCATCATCATTATCCATTCAGTATCAGCCACTATTATTATCCATCCACTGTTAGACATAGGCCTCCCCGTAAACTGTTTTCGATTCTTCTAGCTACGTGACCAGCCCATTGCCTCTTCAGCTTATATATAATATTGGTAATATAATAATGGTGGTAATCATCATGATCATCATTTCAGCCATTATTCGTCCACTGCTGGACATAAATCTCCCCCATAGATTGTCATAAAGAACGATCCTGGGCCACCTGCATCCACTGACTCGCTGCAATGCATTTGAGGTCGACGGTCCATCTACTGCGGGGTCATCCTACATTGCGTTTGCCCGTATGGGGTCACCATTCAAGAACCTTTCTTTCCTATTGGTGGTTGATTCTTCGAGCTACATGACCAGCCACTGCTACTTTAGCTTGCTTATTCTAAATATATAATAATAGTGGTATTATATGGTATGAATATTTTTTACATATATTTTTTTATTAAACTATCTTTTACATGTATAAAAATGTATACTCTCCAATAGCAAACTCATTTGTAAAAATTGCCCGCTAGTAATTAATGCTTTCCACTCAGGGTTTGCTATAATAGAAGAGAACTCTTACAGAGTTAAGCTCGCCTGTTGTACATCTTTATTTTATATATATTATATGTTGTATTTTTTTTGTGTACAATAAAGAATAAATAAAAAAATAAAATAATTCTAAAAACTTCTAAATGATACACTGTGCAATATTTTTACAAATCCCTGACATCTTAGTGCATGGTATTTACAGAGGTCAAATAATTTTGAGCGCATTCTCTTACATAAAAAAAGACCATTACCTAATAGTGAAAGGATATAACACATCGTGTAACCACATTATAACAATTTTAAATAATAATTTGGAACATTAATATGGTAATTTTTATTTTGTTAGATTCACTTAACACACACGACGTAAACTGCAATTTAGCGTTTCTAGCGTGAAGCAGTCGTGTTTGCATGGCTGTGTTTCGGTTTGAAGGGTGGGATATGGCAGTGAATTTACAGGGTACAGAGGAATAACACCTGAGTCCTCAGGAATGGCAACGCATGGGGGGTATCATGGGCGAAACAGTATACTATGTCCATGGTACTGGTCATATGTAGGTATAGGCGACGGTTACCACTTTCCATCAGGTGGGCCGTCAGCTGGTTTGCCATTCTAAGTTGCATAAAAAAAATCTATCATGTTCCTAATATATATCTAATGTCTACTACATAGAAAATTATTATAAAATGTACTACACTGCGTTAGGTTGACTGGAAGAAATCTCTTTTAGAGATAAGTTCGCGTTTGCTAACATTGTTATTAACTTATTGTTGTTACTGTATGTTTTAGTGCAATAAAGATATATATATATATATATATATATATATATATATATATATATATATATATATATATATATATATATATATATATATATATATATATATGTTTTAAATGACTAAAAAAAATACACAGAATCAGTATTAACTATCATGAGTCATACTATATTGTGGACCGCACTCATGAATAAGTGTACCAGTCGAGTTGGAAACTTGTCTAAAATTAAAAAACGAGAATAAAACCGACGTAAATAATTAAAGCGAAGGTTGATATAAAAAATTAGCATCCTTATCTATAATATCAAAATGAATCGCTGAGTGTGTTGCTAAGCGCGAATCTCGAGAACAGCTTTCGAAACCGATTTCGCTAATTCTTTTTTTAGAATATTCCTTAAAGTACGAGGTTGGTTCTTACGGAGGGAAAAATTAAAAATAAAGCCTGAAGAAGTTTCAAAACAACACTTTTCTATACTCCCGATTATACAAACGATTCGTAATAGTACGTAAAAGTCAATTTGAACTTTAATACCATACCATAAAGTTCAAGTGTTAGTGGAGAGGTTCCGGGAAGGCAAATCGATTGAATGACGTGACATAGCGTGTTTTATAATTTTTATTTTTTAACATAATGTAATTGTTGACTTATTAACTATCTTATTTCGTTTTTTTTTTTTATCTTACTAGCTGACCCGGCGTCCCGAATAGCAGAATAAGTGTAAAAAAAAACTAAAAAAATAAAGAATCGATCGTTAGGCGGTACGAAGTTCGCGGGTCACCTAGTTTATTAATAATAATAATAATTTATTGGCATAAATAAGTTTGAATTTGATCTCAATATTATAGAATTACATATTTAGTCGATTTGTTTTAATGGCGTGCAATAATTATTTACGTGAATACATTTTATATTTAAGTTTGTTCTACCAGTGTTTCATTTGTCCCAAAGAATTATTATTCGAAAAACGAAAAAGTTTAAAGCCCCCATACTAAAGCAGCGTACAGCTGTCAAGTTAAAAGCATTCATAACTTTAGCTCACCGGAGTGTGACACCGTCGCAATTATTTGTAAATTTTGAAAAAATAATTTAACAAATTACAATATATATTTATTCTTTATTGCCCTTATAAAGTGCATAGATAATACATTTGTAAATATTGTAAGCAAGAGTAGACTTATCTCTGAAAGAGATCTCTGCCAGTCAACCCAATACATTTGGAAAGCATGTCGTTAGCGGGCAGCTAAAATGCACGAGTGCTGTACGAACAACTATTAAAAAATATAAGCTACAAACTGTTAAATTAAATATTAATATAACATATATTTGAATATTACATAAATCCATAAATATGAAGAGAATGCTACTAGTATTAAGTCCACTTTTTGTACCTTATTTTATTTTTTGTAATAAGTTAGTTATAGTTATAATAAATTATTTAAATAAATAAATATAGTAGCTACCTACCTATATAATAAATGTTAAAAAAATGAATATACTACCTACATTAGAAATTTAGTTTAATGATTTTGAGATTTGATAGTTAAATTTGAAAAATGAAAAATAAAGATTACGAATTCTGACTGATGAAAAGTTCTGTGCTAACGAAATAAGACAATAATCATGCAATGATATTATTATTAAATTGAACTTGCATTTGAACTACTTCGAAACAAACTATGAAGCAAATGAAAAGTTTTAATGGTAGATTATTATGCGACGTATACAAAGATTAACGTTTTATTCCGTAAGTAAAATAATTTTTAAATAATCAGAAACATACAAAATGTTTTTTTTTTTTGTGTGAAGCTTTAAATTACATATCGTTTTTAGCGTCACGTTTTCTTATAAAAAAAGAGTTCCTATTCAGAGGGAAAATTCTCTTTTAAAATTATTCTAATTATTTTTAATTTAAATTTTATAAAAATATCACAAAAACTCAATCCGAAAACACAATCATATATATACGTAGTATGACTATTCTTTTGCCTACCCACAGAATAAATAAAAAAAAAATCACTTACCTGAGCAATGGCGTCCATTGTCATTCTCTCGATGTCCACATTGTAGAAATTGAGCTGCGGCACGTACCGCTTCCTGGGTCTTATATCATCGTAATATGCAACCACATCATTAATCGACACCACTGGACAATCATCAGCGGTGCTACAACCGCTGCTGACTCCGTCCACACCACTGTCGGAGTCCCCCTCGCCCCCGAACCCCTCTTTGGAGTCCCTCCGGTCTCCGTAACTCTTGTCAGAGTACTCCGAGCCCTCCTGGTAGCCGGACTCGTTCATGTCATCAGGGGTGACGATCTCGGGTATTTTTGTCGTGTCGTAATCGTATCCAACGTCGTCTTCGAGACTCTCCGTATCGAGGATGTCCACCATTTTAACGTTTAACTTGTTTCCCGTTTCACTGTCCACTACATATCGTTTCCGCTAACGGCGACCTGCAACAAAAATGCCATGTTAGAACTATCATGTGGCAAGAAATATTTTCATTATTGTACACTTTACAAAAAATTGTTTTAAATACATTTTTACAAACGTGTTTAATTAACAATCGGTACACTTGTTCATTATACATATTTATAAAATTTTATACCAATTTGCTGACAATTACATAAATTTATTGATGTATATACATATTAAAATTGTATGTCAATACCACTATTAGAATTACTGCATATTTCTTTTAGCTACCGACCTAATTTATTTCATATTAGCTTCGAATTGTCGGCGTTATCTTATTACATCAATTCATACATTTATAATTTTAGTACAGAATACGTAAAACAAAATTATATTTATGTTTTTCACTAGATTTTTTTTATTCAACTATGGTGACAAACAAGCATACGGTCCGTTTGATGGTAAACGGAGTTATCGTAGCCTCATTTACTTTCGAAATCATGATCGAAAGTTATCAAATAATTCTAAAAGGAATGGAGACACTTTAAGACGAAAAACAACCCTTGTATCCAACAAGCAAATTTGTCAAGGAAATTTCTTATTTAAATTTTTAATTTTGGAAAGGATAAATATTTATGATACGATTAGGATTGTGCACACAAAAAAAATACTGTCAAATTGTAAACGTTTTCCCTCTTGAAACTGAAAAAATAAAGGCGTAAATATTAGTCGAAAAACAACCGGTTCCCGTCGCACGAAGTCGCATGTCAACAACAAAGTAACAGACTTTGTTGTTCAGATATTCACGGCGCGACCTGCTCATCAATCTCTCTCTCTCTCCGTATACGATAGCATCAATGAAACCCCTGTAAGTACGACCTACATACAATTTTATGAAAAGAACACGATGACCTTTATTTTTCACTTTCCTATGCTCGCTGGTACATTAATTCTGTTTTTAAATACAAACATTTAAATAGCTAAATATTTGTTTGTATTGATCTGGATATTTTCTAAGTATAGTATACCTTTTACCCGTGACTTTACCCGCGTAACTTAGACATATTTATCGGAATAAAAAATAGCCTCATTCCTTCTTCATCTCATATAGTAAATATATACTAAATTTTATACTAATCGGTTTTGTCTATGACATAACTTTTTTATTCTCTCTAGTTTGTCAATTTCTAACTGTGACGGATCTGTGAATAATTTTAATTTATTTTATTATTTATACAGTGTTTTTATTTAGTAAAAACGGTAACAACCAAACAAATTCACTTTCACATTTTATTATTAATAAGTGAGGATATGCATTTATAAAGTTATGTGTGATCGGTCTAACTAGTACACATTACTGGCTGATAACGGATTTTTTTATTTTTCTTTGGTGATGTACAGTAAAATTTTTTAAATGGACTACGTACGAGAACGTGTGGGCCCAGCATAGAATGGGCCATCCCTTTCTTTCCTGTGAATGTCGTAAAAAGCGACTAAGGGAACTTAATAGTCGAGGGATGGACAGCAGCGTCCCTTTTAAAACATCTCCATGACCTAACTGTGGTTTGACAATGGTATGGTAACGGTAAATGGTACGGGGTTACCATACCATTTTCACCCATCAAAAAAAACCCGTCTTCCAAGCGTGGCAACTACTAACAAACACGCTTGACAAGTGGGTTGCCAACCACAGTCAGGCTTTAGAAATGTTTAAAAGGGACGCTGCTGCCCGCCCCCAGCCCTTAATCGCGTCATACAACACCCACGGGAAAGAAAGGGGTGGCCTATTTTACGCCGGGACCACACGGCTATATACCTACAAGTTAAAGTACAATAAAAGATCGCTTACAATAATAAGAGATTGCTTAGCGATAAGGCCGTCTTTTGTATCATTTCTCATTAAAATTCATTGTATTTAATATTTTAATAAATGTTGCAATAAAATGTAAATAAATTAATAAACTCACCAGAAAACCACTTATAATAATAAAAACACACTGTTTCTCTAAAGCTTGCTAGGTTTACCTGAGTCTATTTTGTGGATGTTTCAAGATTCAGAGTACACATTCTAGACTTAACTAGGTATTTTTCCATACACCTTAAAAAATAGTATTAAATGTTTACTTAAATGCACAATCTATTGTAGAATCGACAACTATGATTAATTCCCACTTTTTTTAAAAGTATTTCTTACAATAATTGAAATTATTACTATATTTAGAATTCTTAACTATTCTACAAGCATCATTGACAATTAATTTTATTAAAGTTACCCGTCTACCCCCGATAATAGTAATGTATTGCCACCTACAAAAACTACATAAATGTCCTCATTTATAAAGTTGCCATGCAATAAATTATTGTATTAATACTAAACCTTGGGGGGAAGGGATTGTTAGTAATGGAGACTGAGAATCCCATTGCTAGCAATATACCTAACCAGGTCGACCTCCTCGCGGTTCCCCCTGAAAACTATCATGATTAATTCCTGATGAATTCATCATGATGGACTAACTGGCCTGTTTTCATTCTCATCTATCACCCTTCACTGGTGCTCCGCCAGCGTATCCCGTTAGCGCAGGCGGGGTTACCACCCCATTTTCATCCATTAAAAAAAAATACTAAACCTACCGACATTTCATATACGAGGTCTGTCCGGAAAGTTCGTATAAAAGTGTTCTGGAATGCGAGAAAGAGGAGTGGGGAGGCCAGGTAAGCGCAGGACCCCTTCCTTATGTCCCTAACAATGCTTCAGTTCTGGTCTGACCGCCGTGCGGTGCGAACTGGCTTGTCACGCCATCTGTGAAGTTACCTCTTAACGAAACCCCGTCGGCATGGAGCCCGCTTCCGTTGAAGAGCAGCGCGTCGTAATCAAGTTTCTCTCGAAACTCGGCAAGAATGGCCGTGAAATTTTTGCCGATCTCAGAACAGTTTATGGGGATGATGCTGTGAAGGAACCAACCGTCCACAAGTGGCTAAAAAGATTCAGAGAGGGCCGAGAAAGAGTTCGATGTTCGGGGGATTGTCCATCAAGAATTCGTCCCTCCAGGCCAGACAGTTGATGGAAAATTCTACGTCGATGTGCTCAGACGCCTCAAAGCTCGTGTGGCACGAGTTCGTCCAGAATTGGCGCGAGAGGGGCGTTGGATTCTTCACCACGACAATGCCCCTGCCCACACCTCTCTTGTTGTCCGTGAGTTTTTGAGTAAAAATTCCATTACGGTGACCGAACACCCCCCTATTCGCCGGATTTGGCCCCGTGTGACTTCTTCTTGTTCCCAAAAACCAAATTGGTACTTCGGGGGCGGCATTTGGGGGACATAAATGAGATAAAAAAAGCTACGACGGGGCAGCTGAGAAACCTACAACCAGAGGACTTTCAAGGAGCCTTCTCACAGTGGAAACGGCGTTGGCACAAGTGCATTATGTCACAGGGGGAGTACTTTGAAGGGGATAAAATTGATTTACCTGAATAATTGTAAAATAAAATTTTTAAAAAACTTTTATACGTACTTTCCGGACAAACCTCGTATACCTAATCCAACCGTGAGCGGTCAAATGACCGCTTTAAAATAAAGTATGTATCTTAATATAGAAAGAGACTTTAGCCAATTGGATAGTAAACAAGTAAATAATAGTAAGTTGTAAATATTGAAAAATGGGTTTTATGTATATTATAGGAAAATCAATAAGTTACATGGTGGTACAGTAAAGTTATACATGAAAATTTTTAAAAAACGTTCATTTGACCGCGCTTGATAGGTTTAATGTTAAAAAAACAGGTGAAAATGTCTAATTTCCCTGGTAGTGGAACCCTTCAAAGAACTCAAACCACATGTATCTCATAATGAACACATTGGATGATGTTCAGCATATGATATCCGAATGTACGAAATACAAAACACAAAGGGAAGTATTGATACAGAAATATAATCTCAATAGACAGGAGATTGGTTTATTTTCAAATATACTCGCAGAACCACATTCCGGAATGGCAAAATCTTTAATTACTATATTTTTGTATCAATAATTACCTTTATTAAAATAAACTACTAAGATATTATGTATTATTTATTTATGTATGAAAAACATTCAGTCGCACCGAACACTACATTAAAATAAGAAAATATACCATTTGTAAATTATCCCGCAGTTGCCCAGATTTACATCGTGAAGTCAAAGCCGCTGAAATGAAAACTGATGATGTTTTGGCTCTCATAAAAGTGTACGCGTGTTATTTTTATTTACGAGAGATATTCAAGATATTTTGGTGGGATTTTTGTAAGGTTCACAAAGTCATTCAATAGAATCACAGATACAGTCTTGTTAATGTTCTAAAAAATTTTTTTTATGCAACTTAGAATGGCAAACAAGCGCACGGCCCACCTGATGGATAGTGGTAACCGTCGCCTATAGACATGAGCAGTACCATAGACATAACAGAGTATACTGTTTCGCCCATGATACCCCCCATGCGGTGACTTTACTGAGGACTCAGGTGTTATTCCTCTGTACCCTGTAACTATCCAGATTTTATACATATCATTCTACAAAAAAAAAATCAATAGAGATAAAATCAGATTAACTTTGGGGTAAAATAAAATTTAACAATAACAAAAATAATCGCATTATAAACAAATAATGCCTAATTGAGAAACTTCTACTTTATAAAGTCAATTAAAAATACCATAAAAAGCATCGTTCACATATTATTCGCCTTATGGCGTCGCACCGAAACACGACATTGAAAGCTCTCTCTTTCACTCGGTCAATCCCTGTGCGACTCCAACAAGTGATGACCCTACTCCAGTGACCCACTTCCTAGTGCCAAGGTCTAGATCCGAGCAACAAGTGCCAACCCTGCGCTTTTGTTATGCAAGCTCCTTCCAACTCGCGTTTTTGAATTCTGTTCTTTTGTGTGGCCCGGTTTATCATTTATTAACTGTACAACTTCGTCGTTACAGTCGAAATTAATTTAATTCTTATGAATGGGACGTGATTATTTGATACCAACAGCATTAAGGTATTTTTTTCTTAA